GAAGGCACTGGGAAGCTCTGGAGGCACTGGGAGGCACTGGGCCTACTCAAGAGGCACTGGGAAGTTCTGGAGGCCAGTGGAAGGCACTGGGAAGCTCTGGAGGCACTGGGAGGCACTGGGCCTACTCAAGAGGCACTGGGAAGTTCTGGAGGCCAGTGGAAGGCACTGGGAAGCTCTGGAGGCACTGGGAGGCACTGGGCCTACTCAAGAGGCACTGGGAAGTTCTGGAGGCCAGTGGAAGGCACTGGGAAGCTCTGGAGGCACTGGGAGGCACTGGGCCTACTCAAGAGGCACTGGGAAGTTCTGGAGGCCAGTGGAAGGCACTGGGAAGCTCTGGAGGCACTGGGAGGCACTGGGCCTACTCAAGAGGCACTGGGAAGTTCTGGAGGCCAGTGGAAGGCACTGGGAAGCTCTGGAGGCACTGGGAGGCACTGGGCCTACTCAAGAGGCACTGGGAAGTTCTGGAGGCCAGTGGAAGGCACTGGGAAGCTCTGGAGGCACTGGGAGGCACTGGGCCTACTCAAGAGGCACTGGGAAGTTCTGGAGGCCAGTGGAAGGCACTGGGAAGCTCTGGAGGCACTGGGAGGCACTGGGCCTACTCAAGAGGCACTGGGAAGTTCTGGAGGCCAGTGGAAGGCACTGGGAAGCTCTGGAGGCACTGGGAGGCACTGGGCCTACTCAAGAGGCACTGGGAAGTTCTGGAGGCCAGTGGAAGGCACTGGGAAGCTCTGGAGGCACTGGGAGGCACTGGGCCTACTCAAGAGGCACTGGGAAGTTCTGGAGGCCAGTGGAAGGCACTGGGAAGCTCTGGAGGCACTGGGAGGCACTGGGCCTACTCAAGAGGCACTGGGAAGTTCTGGAGGCCAGTGGAAGGCACTGGGAAGCTCTGGAGGCACTGGGAGGCACTGGGCCTACTCAAGAGGCACTGGGAAGTTCTGGAGGCCAGTGGAAGGCACTGGGAAGCTCTGGAGGCACTGGGAGGCACTGGGCCTACTCAAGAGGCACTGGGAAGTTCTGGAGGCCAGTGGAAGGCACTGGGAAGCTCTGGAGGCACTGGGAGGCACTGGGCCTACTCAAGAGGCACTGGGAAGTTCTGGAGGCCAGTGGAAGGCACTGGGAAGCTCTGGAGGCACTGGGAGGCACTGGGCCTACTCAAGAGGCACTGGGAAGTTCTGGAGGCCAGTGGAAGGCACTGGGAAGCTCTGGAGGCACTGGGAGGCACTGGGCCTACTCAAGAGGCACTGGGAAGTTCTGGAGGCCAGTGGAAGGCACTGGGAAGCTCTGGAGGCACTGGGAGGCACTGGGAGGGCACTGGGAGGACACTGGGGGCACTGGGAGAGCGCTGGGACAGCACTGGAGGGCACTGGAAGGATGCTGGGGGGGCACTGGAAGGCACTGGGAGGGCACTGGGAGGCACTGGGGGGGCACTGGGAGGGCAGTGGGAGGCCCTGGGAGGGCACTGGGAGGGCACTGAGAGGCACTGGGAGCACTGGAAAGGGGAGGGGAGCACTTGGAGGCACTGGGAGGGCACTGGGAAGGCACTGGGGGGCACTGGAGGGCACTGGGAGGGCACTGGGAGGGCACTGGGAAGGGACGGGGAG